GCAGCAAAGCCCCAAAATATGGCCGATTCGCCCAACATACTTAAGTCAGTATAACATACTGTGTGCAAAGTTTCGTTGAAATTGGTTCACATATAGATATAGCTCCGATATATAGTTTCGTCCGCCCACGTATAGAAGTTAGTATAGACTAACGTATGTAAACTTCTGTGGATATCGGTTTAGATATAGCCCCCAAATGTAGTTCGTCCGATTTTATGAAAGTGTTGTACCAAAACTTCAAACATTGGCCAATTTGCACCCAATATATAGCTCTCTTATATATTTTTGTTAGACTTTAAGTAAATTAACATAACGAATCAAATTGAGCCTGGAATGGTTTTGTTGTTTGTGGCAGTATTAAGCGAAGGCAGTTGGGGATTCTCAAATATACACGCGTTTTCGCCCAAAACCGTGTTTTTTACAAATGTCACTATAAATCTAAAATTAATATTCCAATCGGTTCCAAATGTTAACACGTCATTCAGTACGTCTAGATAAAGATTGCATAATTAGTTTGGTACAATTTCACGTCAATGTATTTTGAGAAATGCGACGTCTGTTAGGACACATCTGTTGAATATACTAAAAATGTTGAAGGGTATTATAAAGTCGGTCCCGTCCGACTTTACTACTTCCCTAACTGATTTCGATTTAATTTAGTTTTTTTGTATTTTGAAACTTTACCCGCATTTCCTAACCGAAGTGCCATTAATATTTGGAAGATGAAAACCATGTTTGAAGGCATTTCCATATAGGATGCAATTTGTCGTTCTTGTTCTACAAAAAGGATAAGAAAGGACAGAAATGTGGGTCAATTTTTTATGAAGACCACATGCTGATGTCGGCATGTTAAGTTCCTAGACCTTACCAGCAAACAGTTTACAATGATTTATGGAATTCCAATTGTACACCCATGGTTGAATATCGGTCCGCCTTAAAAGTATTTTTGTCAAATATTATCTCCGCGATTTTGAATAATTCTACATTCATCTCATCACTCCAAACACTCTAAATTTCCCCTGTTGTTGTTACTAGCAACATCATTGTCCGTAACTTATTTACGAACAAACTTTAAATTAATTATTATATGAATATTTCGGCAACGACATTTTGAAAAGAACGCACCCCTGAGAAATTTGATACTAAAAGTTTGTAATTATCATTACCATATATGGTGGATGGAGGTTTGCAAGAAACAATAGACACATTTTGGAGACTCATTAAAATTGTATAATCATAATTGGTCAACGCAAATTAATTATAAGTTATTTAAATTAATTATCAATGACTTTCCAAGAAACCTCTCAGTCTCAGTATTTAATAATTAAAAGTGAAATATTCAATTTCTTTATAATTCTCGATGAAAATGGAGCTATTAAATATTTTCTTTTGCATTGAGAAAACCGTTGCCAATTAGACAGCTTTAAGTTTTTCCCATTCAATATTTGGGTGGTTTTTTGTTGCTCCTGTTTTCTCTTTGCCTTACAATTAGCAGCATTAACATCATTGCGAATAAGTATATTTACGGTATCAAGGACAGCATTCGAAAGATGCTCCCGGTTGTAGGTCGTTTATTATTTCGGAACCTGAGCAGTTGGGTAAATATCACATACCACCTTATTACCTTACCCCTTTAATCACCCCCCTTGCATTCATAATGAATGATGGAAAATTATGAAAGTCCTTTTCTCTGGCAGAAAATACTTTCTAGAAGCCTTTGGGGGTTATTTTTGTTTGTGCTATGACAAAAACTTTACAGCAGCCAAAGAGAAGGGTTAAATTATATACACACAAATGTATACATATATAATTATGTGTACAAGAGTTTATGTCGATAATAGAAATAATAATTTTTCTACATAAAATTCTTGTTAATTGATTCTCAGCCTCCGGCAAAATGAGACAGTATCAGGGAGTGAAAGTAACGAAATTTGCACAGGGGGGCCTTGGCAATGTCACAGGGATTTTTAGTTTTCAATAGACCTCAGAACAATATTATATCGCCTAGAAGACCTCTTTATATGTTTCATACCTATATAAGATTTATTGATATGACTTCTATCTACAAAATATATCTAGAAAGACTTTTAAAATAAAAAATCACATTATTACTTAATATATATTCTACCTATAGATTTCATTTTCAAAAAAAAAATTAATCTATAGAATACCTACATTTGAAATGCCTATTCAAAAAACTTCTACCCATAGCAGTTCTCTTGGATTTCTATATGTAGAAAACCGTTGTAAATTGTTTTTTAGTATGTAGTTTATACTATTCAGGTTGGATTGAAAGGAAATTTCGGTATTCCATGGAGAAATGCGACTTAAACGTTAAAATTAATAAACATGGACATGACCTTTATAAGGGGCCTATGCCTAAATATAGACCTGTTCCAAATTTTTGCTGCAAATATTTTCTCATATTCTTCTTTACCCTCGAAGATAACGGAATGTTAAATTAAAGCCACTTCGATGGGACAATCCGCAAAATTTAGAATACCGAAAATTTGGGGACTATATCAAAATAACTTTATATGCGGATATAGTCCGCATATAAAATTATTAACATGAAATTGGATGAAATAAAATATGTGATATTTATCTAAATGTGAATCGGACTAGATCTATCAAGAAGTGTGAAACTAAATAAATAAAACTATTTAGAAGGGTACATAAACATGTCATTCGTTTGGGACAAAAGTATGAAAATCGACTTCAAACAAATCGACTTCTAGAAAATAACTACGTTATTTTCTAGGCTCAATTTTGTACGTTGTGCAAAATTTGATGTCAATCTGACAAACATGAGGAGTTTGATGTACAATTTACTTAAAATCGGACGAAAATATATATGGAAGCTATACCCAAATATGAAACGATTTCAACGAAACTTGTCACAGGTTAAGTTATACTAATTTCGGTACGTTTAGTTCCTATCAGCCATATATTGGTTTCTTGGTGCGTCAATTACTTCATATCAGCTATATCTAAATCTCAACCGATTTTTACGAAACTTGGCACACAAAATTCTGGACTAAATTCAGTACGTTATGCAACATAAGAACTTTGGCACATTATTTAAATTAAATCGGACGAAAAAATATATATCTAGATCTGAACCGATTTTCACGAAACTTGGCAGACATCGCTCTAGGCTCAATTCAATACGTCATGCCAAATTTCGTGCAAATGGGAAGATATATAGGGACTTTGGTTTACCATTTACATGAAATCGGACGAAACTATATATGGAAGCTATATCTAAATCTGGGCCGATTTTCATGAAACTTGGCAGATATCATTCTAGGCTCAATTCAGTACGTTATGCCAAATTTCGTACAAATCGAAAGATATATAGGGACTTTGGTGCACCATTTACCTTAAATCGGACGAAACTATATATGGGAGCTATATCTAAATCTGAACCGATTTTCTCGAAACTTGGCACACATCATTCTGGACCTAATTCAGTACTCTATGCCAAATTTCATGCAAATCGAAAGATTTGGTGCACCATTTACCCTAAATCGGACGAAACTATATATGGGAGCTATATCTAAATCTGAACCGATTTTCTCGAAACTTGGCACACATCATTCTGGACATAATTCAGTACGCTATGCCAAAATTCGTGCAAATCGAAAGATTTTCAGGGTCTTTGGTGCACCATTTACCAAAAATCGGACAAAAATATATATGGGAGCTATATCTAAATCTGAACCGATTTTTCCCAATTCCAATAGGGTTCTTCCATGGGCCAAATAAATGAGCTGTACCAAATTTCAGCCAAATCGGATTAAAAATGCGACCTGTACTTTGTTTACAATTTAACATCAACAGACAGACGGACGGACATGCATAAATCGACTTAGAAAGTGATTCTATGCATATTCTCAAAAGGAACCATGTGTCTATCTCGTTTATTTTTTGTGAACTTTAGATACAGTCGTTATAACTGATATGTCGTTATAAACGGAGTCGTTATGTACGATATCGATTGTACTAAATAATATCAGTAAAGGTAGATTACTGTAAATAATTCCATAAAGTTCCCCTCTCCCAAGTTTTATTTTTTTCTATGGTCAGATACCCTTTTTAGTGTAAAAATGTGTAATTTTCCGGTCATAATTGTGTCTTTAGGAGCGACCAGAAAAACAGACGAAAATAACGTATTTGGTACATTTCAAACCCTAAATATTAGTCGATCATTGCCAGAAACCATAGGGACCTTCTTTGGCCATAACCCGATCTATATTCAAAATTCTTGACAATTGGTGCATAACTGTGGCCTGTATCGTTATAATGGAAATACGGATGGACACACATGTCTAGATTAGCTCAGCTAGTCGAGATATAACGATCGATATTATAAACGGTGGGTCTAGGACCAATATTTTGCGGCGTAATAATGCAAAATCGTCTGTACTTGAAATATTCCGATCTCTATCGTCATTTCAACAGACGGACAGAAGGGAATGCGTAAATCGACATCGAATTCTATTCTTTTCAAGAATATATACTTTATAGGCTCTGCGGTGAATATTTCGAGGTGTTGCAAACGGAATGACAAATTTAATATACTATCCACCTTATGGTGGAGGGTATAACTAAACCTATACCGACAACTTTTGTATCTCGATTTCTTTGGAAATTAGAGTTATTTTAACAGGCAGTCATGGTTAATATCCCTTCTCCACATCAATAATATGTACTTAATATGGTCTCAAATAGGGTCTAAGGAAGAGAGTAAAAAATTCGTCCAGTTCTTTTATCTACTTTGTTACGTTGACAAATAAGGCCCCCCAATGAATGAAACACCCTCGAACTTATTGATTTTTTGCTTTTCATCATCCTCCAATATTGTCATCCATACTTATTCGACCTTAACCCTTTCGAACAAACAATTTCACCGCCAACGGCTTATATTTACGTCATCATACTCTTATCATATTTCATCATAATTTTTGGGTTATTGTTCCTTGGTGATTTCTGCTGTTGTTGCTCAGTTTCAGCTTCAGTTATTATTATATTGTATTGTTGTTCATCTTGTGGTGGTAACTAATTTCTGTTCCAATGTCTACAGCTTCCATCTTATCCCTCCCTCTAAGCCATCCTGGTTCGTACATATTTTTGCGTTCATTAAACTGTTTTGTTTATGTTCCAGGAAAAACTTTGTCTATCCGCAAAATGTCTACGAAAACGTTTTTCGCATCGAAATATATACGTATATACTAGTAGTAGAAGCCGGCATTCATTCATTCATTTGAACATACTTTATGTACTTAACTCCGCAAAAAAAAAAACGAAAACGCCAAAAATTACTCATTCTAGTCAGCATATCCCGCAAAAGTACAACGGGCTGGAATGAAAAACAACAAGAACAACAAACTAACTAACTAAAAATGAAAACGTTTTGTTTGTCTGCCCTTGTCTGTCTGTCTATATATCCATCTATCTATTCTCCTGATTGTCTGCTGTGTGTCAGTCACTCGCCTGTCCGCCTGTCTGCCGTCTCTCCTTTCGCCAATAAAACCGTGAACTTCCTTTTCAGTTTAGTGCTAAAATTTTCTATTGCAAATATTTTCATGGCATCATAATTTATATACATTTAAATTCGCACATACACATGCATGCATAGATATTAAATAGAATATGTATATAATCGTCTATATTTTTAAAATGTTGTATTAGTATGTGTGTGTGTATGAATATAACAATTTATTAAACACTTTTTTGTGATGAACATTTTTCTATTAGTCTTCAAAAGTGAGAGGGTTTCGTAAAAATTCCAGCAAATTTTGCAATGGTGGTTATTGAAAAAATCGATAACATTTGTTATATACAAAATTAAATTGTAATTTTTATTTAACAAAATTTAAAGTGAGAACATTTAAAATTTTTGAATTTAATACATTTTGCGAGAAGTTTTCATAAAATATTTTATTGAAAAGGTTGAGGTACGTTGAGGTAACTTTTATTATGAATCTTAGGACCACATTCTCTACATATAAATATTTAGTTATTTTGAGAATTTTGATGGTGCTGCGGGCATTTTTCGACCTATGTGGCTATAATGTGGCACTTTAGGTATCAGGTATCTAAGAGACCTTGTTTTATTACAAGTATTCTGCTGAAAAATTCAACACCAAAATAACAAGTGTATAAACAATATAATTAGTTTCAATATAAGTCCATGTCTGATGATTTCGTGGGCATATATGCATTTTTCAACCGAAGTGACTATAAACTGACATTCCCGTTTCTTAATGGGTAAAAACTTCTCAAAAAATTAGGCACATCAATATTTAAAATCGATTGGATTATTAGTTTTTGAGTCCACCATTTTTTGTCCGCCATTCGTAAAACTCAGCTTCGAGAAAAATGTGTTTAAAGTTTGAGAATCACTCTTGCTGTCACTTGATGCTGACACAATAAATGGGCTTGAGATTTTCACTTGAAATTTTGTAGGGACATTCTGGAATTAGAGTAGATTCGAATTAAATCAAAACATTTTTTGACACCGAGAATGGGGAAGGTCCCCTTAAAACAGTTTTATTGACCAGTTTTAACTCGTGGGTGATGTTACGACTGCTAACATGCCGGTCAAATTTGGTAATTTATCCGATAACATCGGATTTTTCCCCCCCAAGCTAATATTTTGAGAATTTCAATCATCATTTTTCTGAGTTGATTTATGCATGTCCGTCCGTCTGTGCATGTCAAATTGTAAAAAAATTTGGCACAGCTCATCTATGAAAATTGGGAACCCTATTGAAATTGGGAAAAATCGGTTCAGATTTAGATATAGCTCGCATATATATTTTTGTCCGTACCAAAGTACCTATATATCTATCGATGTACACCAAATTTCGCATATCGTACTAAATTAAATCTATAGGGACGAGTGAAAAGTTTCGTGAAATTCGGTTCAGATTTAGATATAGCTCTCATATATAGTTTCGTCCGATTTTCAGTAAATGGTGCACAAATGTCCCTATATATCATTCTATTTGCACGAGATTTGGCATAGCGTACTGAATTAAGCCTAGAACGATGCGTGCTATGTTTTGTGAAAATCGGTCCAGATTTAGATATAGCTCCCATATACATTATCATCCGATTTTATATTAATGGTGCACCAATGTCCCTATAAGCCATACGATTTGCACGAAATTTGGTATAGCGTACTGAATTGAGTCCAGAATGATGTGTGCGAAGCTTCGTGAAAATCGGTTCAGATTTAGATATAGCTCCCATATATACTTTCGTCCGATTTAATGTAAATAGTGCACCAATGTCCCTATACATCATTCGATTTGCATGAAATTTGGCACAGCGTACTGAACTAAGTCTAGAACGATGCGTGCTAAGTTTTGTGAAAATCGGTCCAGATATAAATATAGCTCCCATATATATTATCATCCGATTTTATGTAAATGGCGCACCAATGTCCCTATAAATCATTCGATTTGCACGAAATTTGGCATAGCGTACTGAATTGAGTCTAGAATGATGTGTGCGAAGCTTCGTGAAAATTGGTTAAGATTTAGGTATAGCTCCCATATATATTTTCGTCCGATTTTATGTAAATGGTGCACCAAAGACCCTCCCATATATATTTTCGTCCGATTTTATGTAAATGGTGCACCAAAGACCCTATATATTCTTCGATTTGAAGGAAATTTAGCATAGCGTACTGAATTAAGTCAGAAATGATGAGTGGTACGTTTTGGGAATATTGGTTCAAGTTTTGATATAGGTCCCATATATATTTTCGTTCGATTTTATGTAAGTGGTCCAAAGTCCCTGTATATCCTTGGATTTGCACGAAATTTGGCATTGCGTACTGAATGAAGTCTAGAATGATTTGTGTTATGTTTCGGGAAAATCGGTTTAGTTTTAGATATAGCTCCCATATATATTTTCGTCCGATTTTATGTAAATGGTGCACCAAAGTCCCTATATGGCCTTCGAGTTGCACGAAATGTGGCATAGAGTAATGAATTGAGTCTAGAATCATTCTAGGAATGAGTCTAGAATGAGGTTTCGGGAAAATCGGTTCATATTTCGATATAGGTCCAACATATCGATATGTATTCGTCCGATTTCACATAAATAGTGCACCAAACTCCTAACGTTTGTTCGATTAACACCAAATTTTGCACAATGTATCAAATTGAGACTTGAATGACGTTATTGCGTTTCGTTGAAATTGGTACAGATGCAGCCATAGCTTCCATATGTATTCCGATCGGGCGTCTGATTGAAATAAAATTTTTTAACAGTGCGGAGTACTGAATAGCGTGTATCAATTTTGCTATAAATCGTTTTCCATAAATTTGTCCCATGGTACGCAGACTACTCTAAATCTGCCCGAAAGAAATTAAATTTATCATAGGTTGCAGAAAGGCATGAGCATGTTCCTTCGAGGAAACAGTGACATGCAATTGTGAGGATACATATGTACAACATACCCAAAGTGGTGAAGGGTATCATATAGTCGGCCCAGTCCGACTTTACTACTTTCCTTACTGGTTTGGTATGTTCAAGGTCCTAACATAACATGAGTTTTCTCTTATGAGCCCCCATTCATTTTATATATTTTCATTGTCATCCTAATAGTGGTATAAAAAGTTCGTCCGAGCCGAATTTAACATTGTTTTTACTGGTTGATAGCGAGATTTTCTACTTACTGAGAATTCTAAATGGAAAATTACAGCAAATTATGGGATGTAGTATTGTGATGGGGCTACTCTAAAAAGTGGATCAATATTTATAATTTTTAGTAGAAAGATTTTCTACCCAGCGAGAACTCAAAATACCAAACTACAGTTGATTATTTTGAAAAATTTGGCCAATAGTTTCGCAATACCGAATGTTGGGTCATACTCATGTATGGGGGTTATCCTAAATAGTGTATCAATATCGATTATTTTAAGTAGCCTAATGCGCTACCTTGTCCTACCCGTTACATGGGGGCTACCATTTTCAATACCAAATATCTTGTGTATAGTAGCAATGAACAACTCTTTGTCACTTATAGCCGTCTGGAGCACATTTGCGACATCATGAACTGGGTTCGCAATACTTATTGAACAAATTTCGTAACACAATGACATTATAATTAACTATACACTATGTAATTCCAATATAATTACACTGCTAAAATAACTATTAAATCTTGATCTTGGTTCACATTCCGCAATGTTACATAACTGAGAATACTTTCTCCAAATAAATAACACAACATTGTTGTCTATGGGAAATTAACCCTGACGACATTAAAAAACATTTTCATTTTTAATTATAGCCTAGATATGTAAACCGATTCAATAAGGCATGACAAAATCAATTCCGCAACTATAAAAGTAAAAATACAAGTTTAAATCGATTTATAACAGTACTTGAAGCCAGTATGAGAGGTTTAAATTCGTATTATTTGTTAGTCGCAATATCATGTGGACTACTTACCAATTATGGGACAGCATTCGAGTGGCGTAAGATGGAATTTTCACAATTAAATATTTGCATTCTTATTTACAACTTTTCTTTTTGTTCTAGCATTTTTAAAAGCCTGCACACCCAAGGACGAACTATGTCACCGAAAAAGTGTCGTCGATTTTTTTCACACCTATCCCAACGGCATACCTGAACTGGATATACCCAACATGGAACCCATAAATTTGGGCAAAATAAATGTTAAAACTCATGGAAATGAAAATTTCAATTTAAATATTTACATGAAGGATATTCTACTGTATAACTACACAAAAATCGAATGCCTCTCTGTTAAGGGTATTACAGAGGATTTAATAAAACCAGCACATTTAGCAATTAAGGTGTGGAATCCACAATTATCTTTACGAGCCCATTGTCATCTGAAGGGAAAAATGCTAATATTTAATGTTGAAGGTGATGCTGATTTAGAGGTTCATATGTTTAATACCACCACGCTGATTGATGTCAATCTGGTGCCCACGGTAAAGGATAATCAAAGTTACTTGAAAGCCACTTCATTTTATGCCACACAACAAACACCGAGTATGAAAATGTATTTCAAAAATTCTACTCTCTTCAATGGTGACCAAACATTTGCCGATGCCTTTACTGATACCATCAATGAGAATTGGTCGTTGATGCTTAATGAAATTCAACCGTACTTTGAAAAAGCCAATGCTAAAGTGTCCTTGGCTGTACTTAATAAGATTTTAGGAACCATACCTACCGATCAATATTTTAAAGATACCAAAGAAAAATGAAATAATTATTTAAAGTGTTTGTGATTTGAATTAATAAAAATAATTTACTGCTACCAAGTAAAAACGACGCGTTGTTTAAATCGGTCACACCGAAACTTTTATAGCCTCCACCATGAGGTCAACATTTCAAATTCTCCAAAATATCGGATAATAAGGATACTATTATATGGGGTGTATCCCAAAAAGTGGGCCAATATTGGCAATTCCCGACAGAAATATGTGCCGCCTTTGGTGAATTCAAAATACTAAACAACAGCCATTTCAAATGAAAAACGTGGATATCGATATAAGGGGGGTATGTTAAAAATGTTACCAATTTAGAACCTTCAGTACCAAAATATCAGCCAATTCGGATATAACCGAATATTTATACCCTACACAACTATGTTGTCAGGGTATTATAGCTTTGTGCAGCCCCAAAAGTTTGTAACGCCGCGAAATATTGGTCGTAGACCCACCTTTAAGTATACCGATCGTCATATCTCGACTAGCTGAGTCGATCTAGACATGTATGTCCGTCCGTCCGTCCGTCCGTCCGTCTGTCCATTATAATTTGTAAACACGATACAGGCCACAGTTATGGACCAATCTTCACGAAATTTTGCATGTAGGATGGGTTCTGGCCAATGAAGACCCCTATTGTTTTTGGAAAAGATCGGTTAATGTTTCGGGGATGAAATGGACCAAAAACTTTATTTTTGTCGGTTTTTTTGGTCGCACCAGAGGCCGCAATTATGGCCCAAACACCTCGAATTTTTGCATGGAGAAGGGGATCGGGCCAAAGAATAAGCATGTCTCTTTTGATAAAGATCGGTCAATATTTAACGGGTCAAATGGACCCTAACTTTTGTGTGAAAAATGACAAAAATTGTATTCTATAGCGTATATATTTACCACTGAAGGACATAGACCCGAGAGGTTGATAGTATATCCAAGAGGAGTGGTTGACCTTTAAATTGATACCAATTTTATGGTCGTAGGTACTCGGATGCGGGAGTTACACTTAAATATTTACAGGTGCTTACGTATTGATATATTATTTAGTAACCTATTACCACACTGGAGGGCGGAAATATAGCGCTGATCGCTTTGAAATGTTCCATGAGGTTCCAGTAGTGGTCAAGGACAACTCCTAAAATGATAATAATTTATCGGATCAGATAATAATTTATCGGATCAACTGGACCGAAATCTTAATTATTTGTACTTTTCGAGTCGAAAGCCGAACATAACAACACAACATACTGTAAAGAGAACCTGGACAAATAATTATAGGGGCTTTACTGATTATTAGTAACATTTTTTGACCTCTAGCCAGTCAAAAGTGTGCAAATATCGAAAAATATTGCCCAATCTCAGAATATAGAACCACAAAAAGTTAGATTTTCATGGAAGTTGTGTAGGGTATCGTATGGTCGGCCCCGTCCGACTATACTGCTCCGCTCACTGGTTTGGGGTATGTATCGTTAATGAGGGCTATGATAAAAACGGACCCACATTTTTGGTAGGAAGATGTACAATATTAAACTATGAGAACCCTAAATACCAAATTACAGCCAATGCGATAGAAAAATTGGGCTTATAATAGCCAAAATACCGTATAATGTATGATATGTTAGCTATCCTAAAAGGCGGGTCAATGTTGATAATTTTTACTAGTGAGATTTGACGCACAATGTCAAAAAACCTGTCCACTTTCCTTAAAATACTGACATTTGTGAAGTACCGTCATGTTGAGTATATCCTAAAAAAGTTTGTACGGATATGTGTTATTCAATAAGAACTCAAAATACCACACTATAGCTAATTCCCTAAAATTCCGAAAAGGTCACCAGCTCCACTTTCTAACCCTGGCATATTTTCCATTTTTTTCTTGAAGTGAATTTTTACGCCATAAAATAAAAAAAAACTGGTCACTTTAGGTTTTGGTTGATTTGACCCTCGGAATATTGACCGATCATCATCTAAACAGCCGCTCTAAGTATTTGGTCACATCCCCTTCACCTTGTAAAATATGCGATGTTCAGCATATAACAATTACCTCAAGAGCGCGCAGAAAATCTGACAAAATTAAAGTTTTTCATTAATTGCACCCCCTGAATGAAATCTCAACTTCACCGAAAACTATAGGCGTCGTCCTTGACCATGATCGGATCTTCTTTTACAATTTCAAAACGATCAGCGCGACATTACCGTCCTCTAATGGAGTAATAGTAATACTATGCACATAGTCACATTTACCTTATTATGCATAACTCCCATATCTGAGCACATCCGACAATATCAATTTAAAGGTCAACCAATCCTCTAGGATATACTATCAACTTCTCGGGTCTATGTCCTTCAGGAGTAAATATATACGCTATAGAATACAAATTTTGTCATTTCTCACATAAAAGTCAGGGTCCATTTGACCCGCTAGATATTGACCGATCTTTATCAAAACAGGCATGCTTATTCTTGGGCCCGATCCCCTTCTCCATGCAAAAATTTGCGATGTTTGGGCCATAATTGCGGCCTCTGGAACGACCAGAAAAACCGACAAAAATTAAGTATCTGGCCCATTTCATCTTAACCGATCTTTACCAAAAACATTCATTGGCCAGAACCCATCCTACATGCAAAATTTCGTGAAGATTGGTCCATAACTGTGGCCTGTATCAATTCAGCTTGTCGAGATCGGTATACTTAAAGGTGGGTCTAGGACCAATATTTCGCGGCGTTACAAACTCTTGGGGCAGCACATAACTATAATACCCTGACAACATTGTTGTGTAGGGTATAATTACAACCAATTCGGCTGAAAAATGTGTCCTAAATCCCCAATATATGCCATTGGCAATACCAAACATTCTTTGAGTTGTATCTTAAATATTGCGATCTCTATAGTAATTTTAACAAACGGACAGACAGTTTGACGAACATGTATAAATCGGCATAGAATTTTTTTCTGATCAAGAATATGTGTATTTTGTGGGGTATCCGGTGAATATTTCAAGGTGTTTTATATTTGTCGCCCGATTTCTTCTAAAGGATGCACTAAATATCCAAAGGTTGTCCGATTGAGAGGTACCATATTTAGTTTAGTCATAAAGTTGTGACGAAAACGGTTTAGATTTTTTTGCAATGATATTTGTCATACTAAAAATAGTTTCGGATATTGTCAGTGATCATCAGCAAATTAAGGGCATATTTCATAATGTAGACATAGATCCGATTGAAGTCGATTGCTTTGCATTGATATCCAGTGTTGGCCTCATTTCTACGCATGATGCCAATATATTTCTCTTCCACATTTTAATCCTTTACATTTGGGCTGACAATATGTCTGACTTGAGTTTGCCCTTGAAAATCACCCACACACATTTTCCAACAATGAGGGGGATGGGGACTTAACCCCATTTCTTGATCGAATCTGAGCGATTGCATCTTAAAAGGAATGCCTTGCTGTCAGAGTGCCAAAAGCTCTGCTCAGTCGAAACCAATAGCAATGGCTCCGTCCTTCAGATTGAAGCTTTCGGTGAAATTTGTGGAAAATGCTACCAGTGCATTGATTGTCAAATGTTTTACTCAAAATCCAAACTGGCTGTCTCTGAGGATTTTGCTTTCCTCAATAAACCATTTGACGTGTTGCAGAATAAAGTGCTCCAGTAATTACTTGCAAAAAATACTGTAACTTCAAGGTTGGTTTAAACCAAATAATCAAGAGCTGTTCTTGCCAATAGATGTCTCCAAGTTGTCACCAGTTATTAAATTAACCGATTACATTATCTGATGTTTACTAACTGCTTAACACATGCATATTATCGGACACAAGAGTTGTTCCTTTGTATACCCTATTTTTCTGTTTCTAAATTTATAATCAGATTTTTCACACAACAATTCCAAATCAATACCAATTGCAATTGCTATACAAAGACTACAATAGCAAAATTTACAGATCATAACGAATTATGAGAAAAAGAAGAAAAAAACGCAATACAATGTCATAAATATAAAAAACCGCATAAACGCGTTGACAACCGGACTAATCCAGTGACAGTGGAAATGACAATCGCAACTACAAAGAATTTAGACAAAACAAAGAAAATATCAAACAAATGCGACGACTCAAGAGCATGAACAAGTTACAAAACATTCGGGAGTGTCAAACGAATGAAAGAGAAAGAAAGCAATAGGATACGGACCACAACAAAGGCCCGGCCTAACAATATGACATGCGACTAATTAGATAACAATAAAATATGAAAAAGAGACAATTATGCTATGAGAACCAAGAATAAAAAAAACAAAAAATATATGATTACAAAGGACACCGAGTGGCATTAGTATAAGGTCACAATATAGATTTCCTTTTCATGCCATTGTATTTTTTGTCCAAGGCGGACAAAGGTATTAACACACCTTCGAACAGGAGACATTTTAACACATTTTGACAACAAGCACAGCAAGTCTGGGCATTGTGAACCACACACACACGCACACAGGTACATTCAAAGGAGGACATCCATAATAAACCAACCACGAAAAGACTCAACGGCGCTTTTCTAATGAAAATCCGAAAATTTTCTTTGGAATTCTGTAGGAAACAAAAAAAGAGTCATTGAGATTGCCCTGGAGGTGGAACCAATGGAGGTGTGTTGCACAAGTGCTTAATGTCATGCCATAAGAAAGGATTTCTTTTTGCGTGTATTATTCAACAAACAACAATGGAAGGGGATCGGACGGACACCCATGGTTATTATATCTACCACATAATTAGTATTGTTTATGATTACATCATTGTTAACAGAACCATTGTCCTGCTGTGGGTGTTTACAAATTCATAATCTATATGGAACATTTGGTCGGAATTGTGTGACATATGGCATAATGGGTAATATTGATTTCGATTTTAAGATGAGATGGATTTTTTATTTCTTATTTTTAATATATTTCGCCTTATGTTTCATTCTAATACAGAAGAAATATGTCTATGACGCTGTAGCCACAACAATGAA